CAGTACGTATTGTTCGGGATTGTTCTCAATTATTGATCATTATTTTAATAAAGTAATATGTTCTTTTTCAAATTAATTATTTCGTGTTTGTTCTCAATTATTGATCATTATTTTAATAAAGTAATATGTTCTTTTTCAAATTAATTATTTCGTGTTGATTAGCTCAGTACGTATTGTTCGGGATTGTTCTCAATTATTGATCATTATTTTAATAAAGTAATATGTTCTTTTTCAAATTAATTATTTCGTGTTGATTAGCTCAGTACGTATTGTTCGGGATTGTTCTCAATTATTGATCATTATTTTAATAAAGTAATATGTTCTTTTTCAAATTAATTATTTCGTGTTGATTAGCTCAGTACGTATTGTTCGGGATTGTTCTCAATTATTGATCATTATTTTAATAAAGTAATATGTTCTTTTTCAAATTAATTATTTCGTGTTGATTAGCTCAGTACGTATTGTTCGGGATTGTTCTCAATTATTGATCATTATTTTAATAAAGTAATATGTTCTTTTTCAAATTAATTATTTCGTGTTGATTAGCTCAGTACGTATTGTTCGGGATTGTTCTCAATTATTGATCATTATTTTAATAAAGTAATATGTTCTTTTTCAAATTAATTATTTCGTGTTGATTAGCTCAGTACGTATTGTTCGGGATTGTTCTCAATTATTGATCATTATTTTAATAAAGTAATATGTTCTTTTTCAAATTAATTATTTCGTGTTGATTAGCTCAGTACGTATTGTTCGGGATTGTTCTCAATTATTGATCATTATTTTAATAAAGTAATATGTTCTTTTTCAAATTAATTATTTCGTGTTTGTTCTCAATTATTGATCATTATTTTAATAAAGTAATATGTTCTTTTTCAAATTAATTATTTCGTGTTGATTAGCTCAGTACGTATTGTTCGGGATTGTTCTCAATTATTGATCATTATTTTAATAAAGTAATATGTTCTTTTTCAAATTAATTATTTCGTGTTTGTTCTCAATTATTGATCATTATTTTAATAAAGTAATATGTTCTTTTTCAAATTAATTATTTCGTGTTGATTAGCTCAGTACGTATTGTTCGGGATTGTTCTCAATTATTGATCATTATTTTAATAAAGTAATATGTTCTTTTTCAAATTAATTATTTCGTGTTGATTAGCTCAGTACGTATTGTTCGGGATTGTTCTCAATTATTGATCATTATTTTAATAAAGTAATATGTTCTTTTTCAAATTAATTATTTCGTGTTTGTTCTCAATTATTGATCATTATTTTAATAAAGTAATATGTTCTTTTTCAAATTAATTATTTCGTGTTGATTAGCTCAGTACGTATTGTTCGGGATTGTTCTCAATTATTGATCATTATTTTAATAAAGTAATATGTTCTTTTTCAAATTAATTATTTCGTGTTTGTTCTCAATTATTGATCATTATTTTAATAAAGTAATATGTTCTTTTTCAAATTAATTATTTCGTGTTGATTAGCTCAGTACGTATTGTTCGGGATTGTTCTCAATTATTGATCATTATTTTAATAAAGTAATATGTTCTTTTTCAAATTAATTATTTCGTGTTGATTAGCTCAGTACGTATTGTTCGGGATTGTTCTCAATTATTGATCATTATTTTAATAAAGTAATATGTTCTTTTTCAAATTAATTATTTCGTGTTGATTAGCTCAGTACGTATTGTTCGGGATTGTTCTCAATTATTGATCATTATTTTAATAAAGTAATATGTTCTTTTTCAAATTAATTATTTCGTGTTGATTAGCTCAGTACGTATTGTTCGGGATTGTTCTCAATTATTGATCATTATTTTAATAAAGTAATATGTTCTTTTTCAAATTAATTATTTCGTGTTGATTAGCTCAGTACGTATTGTTCGGGATTGTTCTCAATTATTGATCATTATTTTAATAAAGTAATATGTTCTTTTTCAAATTAATTATTTCGTGTTGATTAGCTCAGTACGTATTGTTCGGGATTGTTCTCAATTATTGATCATTATTTTAATAAAGTAATATGTTCTTTTTCAAATTAATTATTTCGTGTTGATTAGCTCAGTACGTATTGTTCGGGATTGTTCTCAATTATTGATCATTATTTTAATAAAGTAATATGTTCTTTTTCAAATTAATTATTTCGTGTTGATTAGCTCAGTACGTATTGTTCGGGATTGTTCTCAATTATTGATCATTATTTTAATAAAGTAATATGTTCTTTTTCAAATTAATTATTTCGTGTTGATTAGCTCAGTACGTATTGTTCGGGATTGTTCTCAATTATTGATCATTATTTTAATAAAGTAATATGTTCTTTTTCAAATTAATTATTTCGTGTTGATTAGCTCAGTACGTATTGTTCGGGATTGTTCTCAATTATTGATCATTATTTTAATAAAGTAATATGTTCTTTTTCAAATTAATTATTTCGTGTTGATTAGCTCAGTACGTATTGTTCGGGATTGTTCTCAATTATTGATAATTATTTTAATAAAGTAATATGTTCTTTTTCAAATTAATTATTTCGTGTTGATTAGCTCAGTACGTATTGTTCGGGATTGTTCTCAATTATTGATCATTATTTTAATAAAGTAATATGTTCTTTTTCAAATTAATTATTTCGTGTTGATTAGCTCAGTACGTATTGTTCGGGATTGTTCTCAATTATTGATCATTATTTTAATAAAGTAATATGTTCTTTTTCAAATTAATTATTTCGTGTTGATTAGCTCAGTACGTATTGTTCGGGATTGTTCTCAATTATTGATCATTATTTTAATAAAGTAATATGTTCTTTTTCAAATTAATTATTTCGTGTTGATTAGCTCAGTACGTATTGTTCGGGATTGTTCTCAATTATTGATCATTATTTTAATAAAGTAATATGTTCTTTTTCAAATTAATTATTTCGTGTTGATTAGCTCAGTACGTATTGTTCGGGATTGTTCTCAATTATTGATCATTATTTTAATAAAGTAATATGTTCTTTTTCAAATTAATTATTTCGTGTTGATTAGCTCAGTACGTATTGTTCGGGATTGTTCTCAATTATTGATCATTATTTTAATAAAGTAATATGTTCTTTTTCAAATTAATTATTTCGTGTTGATTAGCTCAGTACGTATTGTTCGGGATTGTTCTCAATTATTGATCATTATTTTAATAAAGTAATATGTTCTTTTTCAAATTAATTATTTCGTGTTTGTTCTCAATTATTGATCATTATTTTAATAAAGTAATATGTTCTTTTTCAAATTAATTATTTCGTGTTGATTAGCTCAGTACGTATTGTTCGGGATTGTTCTCAATTATTGATCATTATTTTAATAAAGTAATATGTTCTTTTTCAAATTAATTATTTCGTGTTTGTTCTCAATTATTGATCATTATTTTAATAAAGTAATATGTTCTTTTTCAAATTAATTATTTCGTGTTGATTAGCTCAGTACGTATTGTTCGGGATTGTTCTCAATTATTGATCATTATTTTAATAAAGTAATATGTTCTTTTTCAAATTAATTATTTCGTGTTGATTAGCTCAGTACGTATTGTTCGGGATTGTTCTCAATTATTGATCATTATTTTAATAAAGTAATATGTTCTTTTTCAAATTAATTATTTCGTGTTGATTAGCTCAGTACGTATTGTTCGTGTTTGTTCTCAATTATTGATCATTATTTTAATAAAGTAATATGTTCTTTTTCAAATTAATTATTTCGTGTTGATTAGCTCAGTACGTATTGTTCGGGATTGTTCTCAATTATTGATCATTATTTTAATAAAGTAATATGTTCTTTTTCAAATTAATTATTTCGTGTTAATTAGCTCAGTACGTATTGTTCGGGATTGTTCTCAATTATTGATCATTATTTTAATAAAGTAATATGTTCTTTTTCAAATTAATTATTTCGTGTTTGTTCTCAATTATTGATCATTATTTTAATAAAGTAATATGTTCTTTTTCAAATTAATTATTTCGTGTTGATTAGCTCAGTACGTATTGTTCGGGATTGTTCTCAATTATTGATCATTATTTTAATAAAGTAATATGTTCTTTTTCAAATTAATTATTTCGTGTTTGTTCTCAATTATTGATCATTATTTTAATAAAGTAATATGTTCTTTTTCAAATTAATTATTTCGTGTTGATTAGCTCAGTACGTATTGTTCGGGATTGTTCTCAATTATTGATCATTATTTTAATAAAGTAATATGTTCTTTTTCAAATTAATTATTTCGTGTTAATTAGCTCAGTACGTATTGTTCGGGATTGTTCTCAATTATTGATCATTATTTTAATAAAGTAATATGTTCTTTTTCAAATTAATTATTTCGTGTTTGTTCTCAATTATTGATCATTATTTTAATAAAGTAATATGTTCTTTTTCAAATTAATTATTTCGTGTTGATTAGCTTAGTACGTATTGTTCGGGATTGTTCTCAATTATTGATCATTATTTTAATAAAGTAATATGTTCTTTTTCAAATTAATTATTTCGTGTTTGTTCTCAATTATTGATCATTATTTTAATAAAGTAATATGTTCTTTTTCAAATTAATTATTTCGTGTTGATTAGCTCAGTACGTATTGTTCGGGATTGTTCTCAATTATTGATCATTATTTTAATAAAGTAATATGTTCTTTTTCAAATTAATTATTTCGTGTTTGTTCTCAATTATTGATCATTATTTTAATAAAGTAATATGTTCTTTTTCAAATTAATTATTTCGTGTTGATTAGCTCAGTACGTATTGTTCGGGATTGTTCTCAATTATTGATCATTATTTTAATAAAGTAATATGTTCTTTTTCAAATTAATTATTTCGTGTTAATTAGCTCAGTACGTATTGTTCGGGATTGTTCTCAATTATTGATCATTATTTTAATAAAGTATTATGTTCTTTTTCAAATTAATTATTTCGTGTTAATTAGCTCAGTACGTATTGTTCGGGATTGTTCTCAATTATTGATCATTATTTTAATAAAGTAATATGTTCTTTTTCAAATTAATCTACCCAGCCACTGTATACAACACCCGTCACACAATATGGCGATTATGGATCTTACCATCAGATCAACCCCACTTTCCAAGGAGATTACAATCAGAATCCATTGCCTCGAAGTAAGCTTAATATAATACATTCTGAAAATTTATGGAATTATTTTTAACATTTCTTATCTGCGGACTAGATCGCAGACAAAAATTGGGGTTTGATTAATGGCAATAACGTATCTTTTACTAATTCGTTATTGCTTGAAAAAATCGGGTAGGGGAGGTGGTAACCTAAAATGTGGTGAAGTCGGTCTTTTAAGAAACATTTTATAGATAATTCTCTATTTTCGTGAAACGGGTAGCTTAAATCCGCGATATTAATAACATGAATAGACAATTTAGCAATGATACATATTATCAATTTTAGGTTCAGGACAAGGAGGTTCTGTACCAGAACACGACAATCCAAGCGGTCAAGCCGATTATACTTCTATAAATTATCCCCCATCATTTTCACAGTTGCCCTTTACTCCACAGACCTTTTGGGGATATCAACATGATCAGCCGGCAACACCATTTGTTGGAGAAGACGATTTAAATCAATGGATTGAAGGTATAAATTTTTAGAATATTTGAAGGCTGCGAAGCCTATTTATTTATTTGTAAACAATTAAGAAATTCACCAAGATGATCAACCATCTGAACAAGGTGAGAAAGCTCCTCCAAAGAGTCAACCTGATCCAAAGGGTAAACTTTTGTAATAAAATTAAATTTATCAGCATTAATTTTTCATATTAAAGATAAAAAGCCGAAGCAAAGGCCACAAAAAGAAAGGGCGGAAAAATTAGTAAAAAAACTGGGTTATACAACAAAACAAATTAGCTTTAAATATCTTACACGTAGACATCTTCGCGGATATTGTCATTTATGTCAAAAACATAAGTATGACTTTCAGGTAAGCTTATTATAAAGTTTATAAGGTCTGATTTGAAAATATTTTATCTTTTACTATCATCAAATAAGTGATAGTGAAAATGTGAATAAAGTAAGGGACAATATTAAAGCAAAATTAACTCAAATAAATTTAAGGCATGTCTTTGTTTGTGTCACCTTAGAGACCTAGTAATAGATTACCTAGTAATAGATAATTACCTAGTAATTACCTAGTAATTATTAGGTAATTATAATTTAATGTAATTTACCTAATTACCTAGTAATCTATTACCTAGTAATAGACCTAGTAACTAACACCTTAGACCTTAGTAATATCGGTACTTCATGCATACCCCCTGGTGATAGTTAAGCTGCTGTGATTCTTTATTTATTTTTCATCACTCCAAAAATTCCCCTCTTTTTGCCGAGGTGGACGAAAAGATTAAAGAATGAGGATTTTTTGGTTGGCTTAAATACTCGCCCATAACAACAATATTCATTTGAGAATATTGTTGTTATAGTTAATTGTATTTTAGTTTATTGTAAACGATGCTGAGGGAGTTGAAAATTGTATTGAGCAACATATTAACTCAGACAATCATCAAAATGCAATCAGTTTAAAATTTCTATTAATTCAAAAATTAATTTTAAAAATTTAGAGAATGAAAATATCACAAGCAAAGAAACCCAAACTAAACAACAACAACAACAAACACCCGTGTCAGTAACCGCAAAAGGTCATTTTAAATGTTTATAATTTAGTAAGGCAGTCGAGTTTTTTAGTAAGGCAGTCGATTTAGTAAGGCAGTCGAGTTGTTCCACTTAACGAGATTACTCAGCCAGCAAGACTCAACAAACGGGACTCAGCTGGGCGTTCCGAATTTTCTATGATATTTACAGAAAAGTCAGACGTCTCATTTAAAGAAAAAATAATACAAAGAATAAATGATCTAGGTTGTTCGGATAAAATCGTCATCATAAATTCTGCTCTAGATTTATGTATCTGTTCTTGTAATTTGTGTGGTACCCAAGTATGTTTGCCTAAATAATATACCTATCTAATATTTTAAAGCATTCGAATTTTGCAATTTAAGCTTTAATTAAAATGGGGGACATGTTTAAATAAGATATTTGAATTTTTAGTTCACTGCTTTTAACGAGGATAGCATTGATAACCATATAATGATTTTTCAACATCAATGTAAAAATATTTTTCATGTTTAAGATATATTAAATTTAAAAAATTAAGATGCTGAATCAAGTCACCGTTATATGCAAGAATGTATTATTCATGATTTAGGTAGGCATTATGCTGATACAGATAATCACTATACTAATTCAGCAAGTCAAACTGCGCGAGGAAGTCAGTATTTTGATTCAAGTATTAATTATATTGATCCGGGAACTCAGACTTTTCCCCAAGGTAGTCAACGTTACAGTCAAGGAAGTCATCAAGAAGCATGTAAGTTTTTGAAAAAACAAACCGTTCCCATCTAATATTTGACTAAATCTTTGTATGTTTTACCAGCCAATTCTCTGCCTTAACAGAATATTATATCTTAACTGAATCTCTGTCCATATACCTGTTTTTAATTGTACTATATAATATTTATTTATTTTCATCACTGATATAAAAATAAATTTTATTAAGTAACACCAGAAGAGCTTTATCATATTCAACTTGCGACTAATGCTTCTTTAAATCAAGGGCAACCGCAGCCTTTTCAAATTCTAGGTAGATTATCTTAGAATAATTTTCTCTATTCAACTTCATATAATGGTTTAATTGAACGGCTGACCACTTTTACATATTCCTACATCGTGCTGTTTTTATCAACGGCATAATATCATTTCTTAATTTACTAATCTTAATATCTCGTGCTAAAAGCTAATTAAAATAAAATAAGGCGAAGGAACAGCTTCAACCAATCAAGATCAACAATCAACCCCAAGCGGAGATCGTAAAGGAAAAGGGAAAGCTAAACAAAAGCATTAATTTTGAAGAAAAACAACTGGGAGATATGTAATTAGCGAGAAAAAAGAAAGTATTTAGAAAAATTTGCAAAAAAGTAACACAAAAATTAGATTTAGCTGATTTTTTTCATTCTAAAAATTTGTCTGATAAATCAACATTTATTATACTTTTAATTTTTTGCAGCTCTAAAAAGTTAATTTAAAAATTTAAGTTTGCCTGTCTTAAAATTAAAAATTTCCTTCGTATGGAAATATTAGTCTTGGAAAATTGTTATGTCCGAGATTATGTTTTACATTATTTGTACAGATTGACCATTTTTACATATTTAACAAAAAAATGACTGGGGGGGGGGGTAGGGAAGTATATGTTACGGTGTTGTGTATTTATTGGTGTCGCGATAGGATAAAAGCTAGTGACTCAATTTCAATAAATTTTGCAGATTTTCTGTCAATTTTTTATTTGAAATGAATCTAGCTATAAAAGATTCTTTCAAAAAATGATAATTAAACATGAATTTGGGGTAAATCGGGCGATTTAGAGTTATTTTATGTAGATATATAAAGTTTTTTTTGTATTTTTCCTTTTTTGTTAATCTTTCTTCTGGAACATAGGCCCTCTTAATACCCTCATTTATGGGCAAAAAACAAATAAGTAAATAATAATTCACCCAAAAGAAAAATTTGAGCCGAGTCGAACGACACCAAAACCAGCTCGATTTGATGATTTTGAACAAAATTATAACAATAAATCCTCAGTGGAAAAACTGTGCTGCTAGGGGGGGGGGTTATTAAATAAATGACAAGAGTTGTAAAAAATAAAAAAACCTAAAATACACATAAAAACCTAAAATAAGATCCTATTTATCACCTTGTTGGACCTAAAATGTCGAACTCTATAAATTAGACAATTTTAAGTTTAAAAAATACATTGTGCAATAATTATTTAGCTTTCGATATTTTCATTTATTTCTCAACAACGTTTATGTGATTAAATTTGTAAATACGTGTCCGGTAGTCTCGTCAGAGGTTAGATTCGTCAGAGGTACCTTTCGTCAGTAGCTTCCTTATTAAAAATCTAATTAAACCAGGGTTACGATTCCTACTTTTTTAAAAGTATTCTACTTTTAAATCGACCTCCATGCTTACGAAATTGAATTTATACTTTTTTGAAAGTATCTACTTTTAAATCAACATTTTGGATTGAAAATGAAATTGGGGAAGGGATTGGGCAAAAAAATGAATTTTTTTGGCCTACGGCCTTCGAAATTCTCAAAATTTTTGCCTGCGGCGCTGAAAAAGGAAGAAATCTGGCTTCTTGAGCTCCAAATTTCAAAAAATTTTCGCCTGCGGCGCAAAAAACGGAAGAAATCTGGCTTAAGGACCTCCAAAATTTTCAAAATTTTCGCCTGCGGCGCTGAAAACGGAAGAAATCTGGCTTAAGGACCTCCAAAATTTTCAAAATTTTCGCCTGCGGCGCTGAAAAAGAAGAAATGTGGCTTCTTGGTCTCCAAAATTCTCAATATTTTCGCCTGCGGCGCAAAAAAAACTGTCAGGGCTTTACTTCTTGTGTCAGCGAATTTTGACATGTCATGCATTGAAAGGTTCCCGGACAATCCGTCTGTGGACAATCCGGCAGTGGAGAATCCGTCAGTGGACAATGCGTCAGTGGTCGGACAATCGGTCAGTGGACAATCCGTCAGTAAACAAATTCATAATTCCCACCCGAGCCCAAAAAACCGCGGCCAAAAATTTTCATTTTTTCACGTGAGAGCTTATAAGTGATAACGAAAATACTTAGATTAATGAGGAAATCGGTAGATTTAGCTGGATTAAAAGCATATCTGTGGATTTGGGAGTCATCGGGGACTTCAAAGATATTGTGGGATCAAGGGGAATATAAAAGATTTGTAGTATTATGGTGGTTATCTAGGAATTTGGGAGATTAAGATGGATTTCGTGGGTAAAGGAGGATATCAAGGGATATAGGCGGGTTAAGAAGATTTGGAGGTTGTTCCATGATATCCATCTAAAAACAATCTCTCTTATTCATCGAGTTCCATAACTAAACGATATTTACTCAAATCCTACAATAATGCCACACGTTAATCACTTAAATCTAATCCATCCAAATCCCCGATATCCTTCTAAAGCCATCGACATTCGCGAAATTCAACCACATTACCCACTGAATTGCTTTTAATCCAGCTAAATCTGCCGATTTCCTCATTAATCTCCATATTTTCGTTATCTCTTATAATCCCCAACATGATAAAATGAAAATTTTTAGGCGCGATAGTTTGGGTAAGGGTAGGAATTACAAATTTGTTCACTGACGGATTGTCCACTGACCGATTGTCCGACCACTGACGCATTGTTCACTGACGGATTTTCCACTGCCGGATTGTCCACTGACGGATTGTCCGGTCACGCATTGAAATGCACAAAATGCTCGGTTGAAACAAGAAATTATTAGAAAAGATTCATTTAGGAGAAAAATATGAAAGATTTGAGGACGAATAATTATTTTCTAATTTAATTTTGAGACTACTTTTTATTTTCAAATTTTCTCCCTATATACTTTTTAATCGAGATTTTGATACTTTTGAGTGGCATTTTGTCGATCGTAACCCTGAATTAAACGGCAATATTATGACTTATATTAGGTTATTTGTTTCTGGAACGATTTGAACAAATGATGTGTCATTCGAAGGAGCTCTGAAAATCGATTTTTGGGGTGAAAAATAAATGATAGCTTTTTCGAGTCAGCTTGACGAGCTGACTCGAGTCGACGAGCCCTCTGACGAAAATACCCTCTGACGAAAGTGTCCTCTGACAAAATCAACCTATGGGCTGGTAGAATAAGACAGTGGTTAATTAACCATCGTAGCGGCATCGCCGAGTTGACCCTACGCCGCGGGTTTTCTCATTTATCCCTAATTAGGGGAAAAATCACAACTTTCTTTAAAATGGAGGTAAAAATTTTATTCATTTTGCCAAAATATAGATCGGAGTTTTCCATTAACTTTAGATTGTTAATGATTTTAAGAAATCTTCCACCCTGCTACTTATCAAGGTAGAAGAAAAGAAGAGGAAAACTACCTCTTATTCTACCAGCCTTGACGAGTCTACTTTTCCTCTTTCTTCTCTCCCCAATATAATATTTTCGGCGCAGCCATTTTTTCCTTCTTTTTAAATTATGAAAGAAAAGTTGGGTTCTGGTAAGTCACCTAGCCAGCAACCACGCTCTTATTCTACCAGCCCCGATGAGTCTACAGAGCACCGCTCAACCTACTTGTTTTTTAGGAGATGCGGATTTGAATACATGGCCCCCAACGTCCACAACAGTTTGGCTCCAAATTAAAACATATACATCCCGACATAATTGAATGAATCCCAGAAAAAGCTAAAAACCGATTTCTAAGGGATCCAGAATAATAAATAAATATTCCCAACATATTTCTAACTTGACACTCCATCTCCTCCTCTATCCTATTATATCCCTTCGCTCTATTTTCGAATTTTAATTTTTGAAAATCAATCGAGAAAGCATTGATTATTGCTATTTGACATTATGAAAGATGCTATAGCTATTAGAAATTTGATTTTTAATTTTCCAGCATCTCTAAATGGTGGAAAGGCCTTTTTTTAGGATTTGAAGGGATTTTTGGCAGTCATCCCTTTCATAATCAACAAGAACAACAACCTCCTCCAGCTGTTGGTCCTTCTTTTCAACCTTTTGATTATCACAGCGATATTTCTGATTCTCCACCTCTTCCATAAGAATATTGGAGTTACTCACCTGCTCAACTGACTACTTCTCCATTTTTAGGTAAAGATTTGAGTGCATGTTTTCAAAGTAACGTATTTTCTCGAATTGAGCGGCCCGCTCCAGTTGAACGGCCGTCACCAATAGAACGGCCTTCTGATAGAGGACTGAAAAATATACTAAAGTAATTATTTATTTTGTAAACAATTTAGCAAGTCACCAAGAAGATCAACCATCAAAACAAGGCGAGGAAGCACCTCCAAAGAGTCAACCTGATCCAAAGGGTAAATTTTTGTAATAAAATTACATTTGTCAGCATTAATTTATTCTTATTAAAGATAAAAAACCGAAGCTAAAATCTCAAAAAGAAAGGGCGGAAAAATTTGTAAAAAAACTGGGTTATACACCAAAACAAATTAGCTTTAAGTATCTTACAAAGGTATATCTTCGCGGATACTGTCATTTGTGTCAAAAACATAAGTATAACGTTGAGGTAAGCTTTTTATAAAATTTATTAAGTCTAATTTGAAATATTTATCTAGTGAAATTTTTAACTTAGAAACTGGGACTAAGTATCTGAATTCCATTGATTTTACAACAAATTATAATTACAACAAAATTAACTCAAATAACTTTAAGGCATGCCTTTGTTTGTGTCACTTTATTGACCGCTCGTTTTAGTAGCCAAATATAAGTTTTGTAACAGTGATCATTTGAATGCACTCAATAAGCTAAGCCGGTACTTAATGAATTTCAG